TCTGCTCACCTACAGAAGATTTACGGCTATTTTATTCCATAATTTTGTTGCTATTTACAGAAAAAATTTTTACTTTGGTTTTTGCATCAGATGTGAAAGTTGGGAGTATCACTGATGAATTAATCCTATATATTTCAAAGGTGATTCAAGGGAAATTACTTAATTTTTTCAAAAGTTCACTTAATCCGATTCGCTTTTCCTAAGAAACCAAAGTTAACACATCCAATTTATCAATTTAATTTTTTTGACGATAAATATTAGCACTTACCTGACCCAATGCGTCCGGGGTGTGTGGCTTGCCGAACCGCCATTCACGAGAGGTCCAAGGCGCATGCGTGACGTTGAGCCGTTTTATGAACGTCATTCATTTGCATACGACCACCCGCTTTAAAAAGCGATATACAACGCCAGTGAGGGGAAGAGAAAAAATTGGAAGCGGAAGACTGCAGACGTGGCAGTTGGGAGATTATTTTTTTTTTTTTTTTTTTTTTGTAAAGACTGTGCTATTCGTTAGGAAGCTATTTCGGCAAAGATGGGGCGACCCGTTCGACCTGAAAATTATACCCGAATTTGACGGGACCGGAGCTGTTATTGACTGAATCGAGAAGCTGGAATCGGTGTTCGGTCTATCTGGGGGAAGCGGCTTAATCGTGTCATTTCTCTTCGCCTAACTGGGGGAGCTTTCACGGTTTACTGACCAAGGATGAGAAATCGGACGCGGTTTCGAATCAAGAAAGCACTTTACCGCTGATAGTTTCACGGGGTGCGCAAAGTTTGAGGCCTGTGGGTTGCGTCCGGGTGAGACTGTAGATGTGTATCTGGCGGATTTGCGGAAGTTGTCGGTACTTTTCGGAGGAATCCCAGACCTTGAAATGGCATGCGTGCTCGTGCGGGGAGTTTCCTGGCCCCAGGAAGAGGCACCTATGGCCCTCTTCCAGTCTGAATGATATGTCTCTCAAGGAGTTGTTGGCCCGAGCTCGGGCGCTTATGAAGAACGAAGCTGTATTGGAGGAACCAGTCGTTGCTGCAGAACAGCCTGCCCGGATTGCTCAACCGTCTCTGTTGTGAGTTCACCTGTTACATGCTCTAAGTGCAATGGTCCCAATCACTTCGCGAGGGACTGCGTGCGGAGAGGGCAGACTATTCGTGCGCGTTGTTAGAGATTGCCGGATGTCGGCGCTAGTCTATTCCCCAGGCAATAGGTGAATTCGGAGCTACCTATCGTCACTGTCTACGTAGACGACGCACCATGGTCGGCTCTCCTCAACTCAGGGTGATCACATTCCATTCTGAGCACAAAACTATGTCGGTCTTGGTCGAAGCAGAGCGTGGTGGTAACCACATTAACCAGAGCCACGCAGGCCTGCTGCAGAAGCGGCACCGTTAGGATTCGCACAGCAACCGGTAACACTGCCACGATCGATGTGCTGGTTATGCAAAGTGGATTTCGATCTATTGCTTGGTATCGATACCATTAAGGTGCTCAGCGACGTTCTCATCATGCAGTCTGGAGGCGTGAAGTCTGAAGAAACATGACCCGTCTGTGCAGCGCTTCGCATCAACGAAACCGTTTTTAGTGCGAAATTCGACGAGCGGCAGGAAATGTGGGTGGTAGCCTGGAAGTGCTCAACAGGTCGTGCACTTGGGAAACTTGGGAACAGGATCTCTGAATATCCGTTGTCTAGCGAGTTGAGAGAGGAATAAGAGCGTGAGCTGCAGACCTGGATTGCCGTATATTGATGAGGAGATTGGCAGGCCCAAGTTACTGATACCGCTGATGGCCGTACTACAGACCAACAAACATAAGGTGTATCCTGTAATGGACTATTGTGAACTAAACACCTATTCACGGGTGCAGTGGTCGCCTGCGCGGAGAGACTGTGAGAATGGAGACAGCAGAGCGCCAACGTATCCATTCTGGACATAAGGAAAGCGTACCTGTAGGTTCACGTTGAGAGTTCTCTGTGGCCGTATCAGACAGTTATATTCAAAGGAAAGAGATATTGTCTAACCAGGTTGGGGGTTTGGCCTGAATGTGGTGCCTCTGATAATGCGGTCTGTGCTCGAGGCTGTGTTAACGCAGGACGAGACGATAAAGCTGGCGACGTCGGCATATATATATATATATATATATATATATATATATATATATATATATATATATATATATTATAAATTAATTGATTTAAAATGTTTTTCCGCTACATAGTTCTAACCATGTTTCAAAAAATAGAAGCTAAAAGCCCGAATTTAATTTTGCAATTAAATTAAAAGTATTAGTTCCATTTCATATATATATATATATATATATATATATATATATATATATATATATATATAAATGAGGATGTGGCGTCGGTGGAATCCGTGAGGAAGCATCAACCGTGAGGAAGCATGAACTGTATGGACTGACTAGCAAGGATCCAATTGCAGGACAGTGCCAGAGTGCTGGGATTAGAAATCTGCAGGAGGGTGGGGACATGGCGACGAGTAAGTAGTATGGTGAACGGTCCTTTAGCCATGATGCAGAGAGGTATCTCTTTTTCCATGTGTGGCAAACTGGTGGGACACTTTCCCGTGTGTGGATGGCTGCGAGTAGTGACAGGCTTTATCAAATGTCAGGCCACTACCATCATGCAGAACTGGGGCAACAAAATCACTGATGCTCCTCTGGGCCGGATGATAACGGACACGCTTGCCTGGGTGCGCAACTAGATCCTGCCCAGTGGCATGTGGATCCGAATGAGCTGGGTGTGTAGATGGACACGAGTTCACTGATTGTGAGAGTGGCGCTTTACGCCGATGGTGTCATCATTGAAGACACGTTGGTTGCAGCCGATAAAGGACGCCCAACATATCAACGTGGCGGAGCTGGATGCCGTGCTAAGAGGAGTTAACCTCGCGGTCAAGTGGCGAGCCACGGTGTTACACGTGAAAACAGACCCCCCTCCCCCCGCCTGCGTGTGTCAAAGGTTGACCAATGCCCTTACAGGCAAGTCTCAGCTGAACACCAAAGCCGCGAGCAAGATGCTCATAAGGCGGCGACTGCTCACGCTGATCTCACTTGTGAAGGAATACAACCTTTCGGTCGATGTGGCGCTAGTAAGATCCGACCATAACCAGTCTGACTTACTGACTAGAGTTCAACAGAGATGGCTAAACGATATGTAGAAGGAGATCGAACCTATACAGCCGGTGTGTGCTTTTGCCGCGGGTAACCTCAGCTCAACAAATCTGACTGAGGTTCATCGACACAGCGGGCACCCTGAACTTAAGCGGACATTATACTTATCGTATAGGATTGACTTGTCCATGTCGAAAGCGGTAGGGAGTTCTGTAGTTTGGAGTTGTGAGGAGTGTCAGTCTGTAGACCCAGCACTGATGTGATGGTAGAAAGGAGGACTCTGTGTGCGTGAAACGTGGAACCGCCTTGGCATGAACATTACGCACTACAACGATTACCACTTTTTGACACTGTTTGACTGCGGCCCCAAGCATTTTTCGACCTGGCGGCCGTTGATTCGGCAAGACACTATACACATGATCCAGCAGTTGGCATCGGTGTTTTTCGAACGTGCCCACCTCCCAGCCGAGCTAGTAGACGATAACGAAACTGCTTCTGCAGTCAGTAATTCAGATGATTCGTGAATGAATGGGGTGTCCAATTCCAGCCGCGCTTCGCGTACAGACCGTCTGGAAATGGTATCGTGTTATCGGACAGTAAAAACGAATTGCTGCGCGGAAGAGCTGTCCTATCATGGAGGCTGTATATTGGTACAACGTCACACCCAAGGACGACGAATCCGCCTCGTTCGCGCTCGCCAATCTGCTGCATTTTTACCAGATTCGATTGAAAAAAAGTGACCACCAAGGAACGTCGGCCCGGTACAGAGAGGGGAACGCAGTCTGGTTGAAAAATCCACAGCGACGATGCACTTCGAAATTTAAAACAGGTCGCATTAGAGGGATAACCAGTCCACAGTTGGTGGTCGTCGACGGCGCGCCTCGGCACGTGGGAGATGTGTGTCCACGGCTCAGTTCGGGGCTGCCAGTGGACGACGGCGGTGACACATCGTCAGGGAGTAATGAATGGTGAGAACCAGGCTCCAGTGCAGGCAGACCCTATCTGAGAGCGATGGAGATGTGGGAACTATCTTTATCGAGCCCCCTCAATTCCGCGGATTCTGATTCTGATTCAGACCCCAGCACGTCTGAAGATTCGGGAGGAAGAAGTTCTTATCCCACTACTAAGGAGTACTAAGGTGAAACGAGCAGCACCTCCACTACTGTGTGATCATACGATCAGGGGGTAATGTGACAATGGATATTCTCACTTACCTCATTCAAATCGTCCGAGGTGTGTGGCCTGCAGAACCGCCATTTACAAGAGGTCCAAGGCGCATGTGTGACGTTGGGCCTTTTTATGAACGTCATTCATTTGCATACGAGGACGACACTCGCTTTCAATGGCAATATACAAGGACGGCGAGGGACCGAGAAAAAATTGGAAATGGAAGAGAGCAGACGTGGCAATTGGGAGATTTTATTTTTCAAAGACTGTGCTAGTCGATAATAATTTTTGAAATAATTGTTTCGTTAATTTAAAACAAAAAAACAACAACTTTGTTCTGTCATAATTCTCAAAAATATAGTTTCTTAATCGAACTGTGATTAAGTGTAAATACTGTTTTTGTTTTGAATTTAATTAAAGAAGTTTTTGTTCTATCAATTTAAAAAAAACTTTGTTCTGTCAATTTAAGTGATTTAGGACGATTAAAAATTGTATTTTAAGGATAATCGTAAAATAGTCTGGAGCGCTGCAGTTCGGCATTACAATTTATCAAGAAACTTTAATTGAGACCTACTGAATTTAATTTCCTGGGGACCCACTCAAATAACCTCTGTGGGTTCTGGAGACCACATTAAAAACCTATCAGCATCACTATAGATAGATAGATAGATAGATAGATATGAACAGACTGACATATTTAGCTATCTATCTAGATAGATGTGAACAGAATGAGATAGATAATTGATAGATAGATAGATAGATAGATAGATAGAGAGATATAAACAGACTGAGATAAATAGATAGATATAAACAGACTGAGATAGATAGATAGATAGATAGATAGATAGATATAAACAGACTGAGATAGCTAGCTAGCTAGCTAGCTAGCTAGATAGATAGATAGAAGGTTAAGTACAGAATAGATAGAAACAGTAGTAGGTTGTGGACTCATCCAATATCCTCACCTTTTCTAACCTAAAAAAGGTACAGTCCACATCGTACGCCTACGTACTAAAAAACCTCAGCCAATAGAAATGGCGAGAATCGAATCAAGCAATTCCATTGGTCAATCGTTTTCTGAAACAGGAATTGCGCCAAAACGAGTTGAGCCACCCAGTGGATATATAAAGGAAAAGCAGACAGCCCCATTCAGTGGAAGCGGAGCAGCAGAGTAGCTGTAATTACCAACCTTCAAGATGTAACATTTCACCGACTCCCGTCTTAGTCATCGCTGACCAGACGATAAAGAAAATTACCAACTCCATTCAGTCAGTCTAGCTAACTCACCGAGCAATTTTCAAATACTCCACGACGTTTCGAACCATAATTTTGCCGCGCTTTTCAAAGAACATTCACTGACTCACTTCGAACATTCGACGAACGACTCTTGAAACTTTTCACTTAATTTCTTATGTATATTGATTTATAATCATTACAAAAATAAGAAATACGAAAGCGAATACAAATACAAAATACGATTAAGGGTAGACTACTTTGACAAACTCTTTTGCAAAAAACTCTTAATATTATTATTACAATCTTTGATACAAACAAGAAAATAGCAAACATTACGATATAAGAGACATTAACCATTTCAGCATACACATACAATTTACGCACGCAACTCATACAAATATTATTCCAGTTTGTAAATGTTTAATTGTATATAAATGTTGTATTGTTTTGATCTATATATGTCTCGTTTTTTCCTTGTTTGAAATATCACGATTGTTTGTATATTTGTTTGGGACGCGGTCAAACACGCAACCATTAATAACAAATCCTTCTGATACGTTAAACAACCACGACGTCCCCAACAAGGTTAAAAAAAGACAGATAAGAACAACATAAAGATGATATATAGAGAATATAGATTCTGTATCTATGGAAACAAATCCTTTTTCGCACGCTAACTTCAATCTATCAGATATTTTGCTTCCATCCACATACTCAGGAAACTGTCAAACACCCCCACCCACCAACACACATATGCAAACAAAAGATTACATAGGTCTATTACCTACATAAATATTTATTGAAATTTATGATTGTTTAGCTCATTGTCCTGCCTTTAAAATTTCGAACGACTGACCCACTTCTTGTGATTGACTTATGTCACGTTCTGTGGTTTATTTTAAGCAGTTTTCATTTGTACTTGTCATAATCTGTTAGTAACAATTGGCAACCATTTTTTAATCGAATATACTCCAAGCAAGGCAGTAAAGCCACTGAAACGTAAGGGGTTACTCGGTGTAGAAGAGTTAGAAACAGAAACATTGCAAAGGAGTGAGAACAGAGGAGGAGTAATCAGGATGACAGCAGATAGCGATTGACATTATATTTGGATTTTTGAAGATTTTTAGTGATTCTTACAAAAAAGGATGTCAAGATGGCTAAACGTCTTACCTGAAAACTTGGATAAAAGAGACTCAATTAGTTTAGTGTTTTTGTTTTTTGTTTTTTTTTTAGATATTAAACATTTTGTGGAATGGACAATTGTGCTGCTACATCCGGTATATATGGGATGTATCAAAAATACTTTTACAGACTTTTGGGTGGGTTCCTTACACCAGACCAAGGATAAAAGTCCATATAAACATGAGGTGCGCTGCTACCTGGATCGTCTCCGAGAGCCTGTAGAATGTGTTCTTCGTGGACAAACATACGCGCGGATCTTGGTCTTGCTCGATACATAGTTTGTGGTTCCATGGATCCTGTCTCAGCAATGCAACGATAGACAGCAGCAATGGTTGGATGACTCAGCTGCCTTTGGTCTGGAAACGCAATCTGATACAGCCGTGTAGCCTCGCGTCCATTGCCATTCGCGTGGCCGTATGTAAAAATCATATGTGCCTTCTCACGATATAAATATCCTGCCATTGTTAAACGAAACACTTCTCAGTTAACTCTCTACTACATATGTTAAACGTTGAAAACAAACTAGTCATAAGTGTACACAAATGACAAACGTAACCTAGTCTACGTGGCAACACGGTGTCATCTACCGTAAAGTTTCTCTAAAAAGGAAGGATTTGCGGATATATGTTTATATGAACTTTTGTCCTTGCTTTGATATCAGGACACCCCTAGATTTTGTAAAAGTATTTTTGATACATCATTTACATGGATTATGGTCTCATTACATTGAAAGAACGGTTCTTGTACGATCACCAAAATTAAGCAACATCGAACCTGGTCAGTACCTGGATAGGTGACTGCTTGGGAGTACCAGGTGTTGTAAGCTTGGATGTGCAGGCGGTGTATTGGATAATGACTTGGAATTGTTAATCGGAGATTCGAGTTCTAATTCCCATCGGGTTCATTATATTCCCTCAGTTACCTTTGGGAAAGGTATGAATCTACCTCTTCTTACCCCCAACTATGGATTAATTAGTAAAAACTTGTATCACTAAACCATTATTATCTTAGAAAGAAATATTACAATCAAAAAATATTTCGTGGATTTAAATAACCTTCAAAGATTTGATAAGTCAAAGAAAACGACGCAAAGCCTGTTGCTAAAAATTCTGTGTGGCTCCAAGACTCATTCATAAAATTCGCTCAAGAGTGCGTCAAAACAAGAAAGAGATAGGTGCTATAGAATTCAAGGGTCGACAATCTACGGTACGCGTGCCACATGTGGAACGCTAAGCAATTTCCAATGGCACGCAGCCGCAAATGACATCACGAAGTCCGAATCAATAACTATTAAAACGCAAATAAAATATTTAGCTGTTTCAATTTTAATATATACCAAACTATATATATTATATATTACTATATAAAATATATTATAGAACTGGTATATTGACCTTGACTTGTATAAAAATAAGTATGCTGTTGGCACACTGAAGGATTTTAAAACCCTAAGTAGGCACAGTTAGTAAAAGGTGGCCGACTCCTGCAGAATTATCCTTAGATTTGAAAATGGTTACTAGTGTAGCAACTGACAGATTATTATCATCATCATCATCATCATCAGCTACGCGCAAATACCCTTAGGAAAGCTATGAATCTATCTCTTCTTCCCTCAGCTATGGGTTAATTAGTAAAGACTTGCATCACTAAACCATTATCTCCAAAAAAATTTTCCAAGGCTTTAAATAACCTGCAAAAGTGTTGGTAAACCGTAAAAAACGAACAAATCAAACAATCAATAAAATATATTCAGATTTTTATCAGGTGAGAAAGAGGTTTGCATTATACATGAATAAATACAATATAGTTGGAAAAAAAATTTTAAGATGCCATTATATGAGATCAAGGATTTTTTTTTGTCCACAGCCTTTTATATTTCTTCACTTACAACCGTATTGTCAGCTTCCGTTACTGGTGTGTTTTTTGGAATACCAATTTCTTCTTCCCATTTCGAGAGTTGACACAGAAAAGTACAAAGGGGTCGAATGAACTGGCAGCAGCTTTTCACAAAACTGTAAGCTTCCTGCAAACAGAAAAGAAAAAAATTAATTACAAAACTGTAAGCTTCCTGCAATGGAAAAATGGCGTAATGCCCAGCCACCGGTTGAACAGTGGTATAGAAAAATGACTTAATGCTCATTATTTTCGCCATAATGTGCTACTTCATGAATTTCGGAAAGGAGCAAGAACTGTGACAAAAAAAAAAAAGCATTCAGAATGTTTATTTGGATCGTGTTCCAATTCCGTCAATCTAAACGACCAACCACGTACCGGGTGACCTTTTGACGTCGATGAAGACTTTCCGCTTGCTACCGTGGAAAATAAACCGAAGAGTTCGACGAAAGAGATTGCTAAGAGTTTGAAAATCGATATTTCGACTGCCTTTCGCCAATTGAAGAAACTTGGATTCGTTTCTAAACTCGCCATGTTGGTGCCACATTCTCTGACAGAACAAAACAAGCTTGATCGTGTTTCTCTGACGATTTCTTTGCTGTTACGCCACGAAAAGGAGCCATTCTTGGACAGAATATTCACTGGCGAAGAAAATTGAATCGTTTATGATAATGTTGGACGTAAACGGAACTGGAAACATGCTTGTGAATGTGCAAAACCTGTGCCTAAAACAGGTTCATCTCCAATAACGGTGTTGCTGATATATTGCAGAGGGATAATTTACTTTGAGCTCCTTCCAGCCACTGAAACAATAACTGCAAAGAAGTACTGCAACCAACTCACTGTAGCTATTCAATGCGGCTATTCAAGAAAAACGGACGATTTTGGCAAACCGAAATAATGTCATTCCCCCCCATGACAACGTGAGCGAATTGTAACTAAACTTCACGTCACACAATCTTAAGTTTTCCGTTCATACGAACATTATACAAGCTTAACGATATTCACACTCACTCACCAAAACTCACCAGTGAACTCTATTCCCATTCACTCACCAAATTCCTTACGCAGAAATTAAACAAATTCCTGCTAACAAATCAACTTTATTTCTCAACATTCGAGAACATTGTACTACACAAAACAATCAAAGGTTGATAACTTCTTTGATCACAAAATTACATTCAACTTTACTACTTACATGAACAGTAAACTCTAAATGTAATTTTTCTCTTGTAATTAATTTACAGAATTTTCAATAACAGATTCTAACAAACATCCTTTCAAATCAGAACTCATTAACAAAATTTAATCTTTCACCAAACTTGAGTTCAACATAAATTAAACTAACAACATACTTGTTATTCAAATATTTGCCTTTTGTCTTTTATCACAAATGTTTCTTGTTTTTGCACGTTTGCTTAACATATTCGTAGAGTAAAAAATTGTATGGATTGATTTGGGCCGTCAAAATCATTAAATAAATGGTATTCAGCAAACTTTCCACTACACTGTAATTAAAAATTTTAATAAAATGCATTTTCCAGCCAT